GCCAATGGAATCAATGGGATTCCCATAATACCACGACGTCCTTCAACACCAAATAATGATTACAAAGAACAATCTGGTTCTCTTTCACTTCGACGTCCGAAAAATCGTCGGCCTTTAACTATCTTAACGAAACTAGAAAAAAGAAATACATGGTCTCCTATATCTTTTTTTCAACAAAAAAACGGGAATGCTCCAAATACACCAACAAAAAGATTCACCGGATGGCTTGGAAGAAAAGATGATGCTAATGGGTATGTTTAGTTAGTTATTAATATTCTTTCTGTCAAAAATTATTGCCTTTGGCTAATAAATTGTTTCTTATGTAGCAATGGCTCAATGATGCATTCTGATAACTCTCAACTTGGTGAATCTTTTACAATTTCCCTGGGAAATCAAGTGAAATCAACACATAATCTTAGATTATTGGTATCTGATGTGGATGATTTGCTAAAATCCTCAAATGACCAACTAAAAGAAATTGCGCATAGAGCTCAAACTGCTGCAAATTTGTATTCACAAGACTTGGCGGCAATTGTTTTACTTCTGACTCCTCAAGATTGGCCAACATATAAGTTTGGGAAGGGTGCTAATAAAGGTTTACTTTATTCTGATTATTATGATAATTGAAGCTGTTATTAAAAATTATAAAAAGTTGATCTTATATTATCTTGTATTAATTACTATTAAAAATAGCATTCTTTGAAAGGTGTAAAGAATCAACTGAATTTCATTTTGATGATGTCGGAACACAACTTGAAGCTATTGAAAAGGATTTTACAAATGATCGAGGAGTTTCATCTGTAAAAGAAGGTCTGTATGTTATTTTTAAAAATTTTTGAAAAAATATAATGTATTGACAACAAATTATTATTACAGGCGACTTTTTTATTACAAGACATTCCAACTTACCCATGTTTCAGGTTATATTTCATCTAGTTATTGGCTTTGAATGTAAGTAGTCTTTAAACTATATTTGAGGCTTTGAACTTTTATAGACATTTATATATTTTATACATTTTCTTGATATATAAATATATAAAGCAATGGAAAACACCAATCTAGCACAATGTACAGAAGCTATAAATGGCCTTCGTAATATTCTACGTACTGTAGAGAGATTCGATATTACAAATATATCATTACCATTTCTTTTACTACCTTCAAACATTGATTGCTTTTCTGATCCATTATTTGAAGAAAAAGAAAATGATTTATCTAAAAGAGGTGAGTTTGTACTAAAATGTGCCAAAGGATTCATGATGAAGAATTCCAGAGTACCAAAACATATGACTGTTAAAGAGCAAGAGACGAAGACTGTATCGTTTTTATTGCCAAAGGGTGCTAGTGAACAACAGTTTAATTCATTTAGGAATTTGTTAACAACTATATTTAGAGCTAATTAGGATCAGGCATTCAGTTAGTTCTGGTTATATTTTTTAATTTTTGAGAATGTATTAGTATGTAATTTAGTAATTTATGTGTTGATATGTAAATTGGTGTTTCTGTAATTAATTTTTATAGAAAAATGTAGAATATTTAAAGATTTATGTAATGAAATTATAGAATGGTATTTGGGTTTCTAATTCTCTTTGTTGATAGACTTTTTTTCTTTTTCTGTAATAATTTATGATTCAGAAAACTTTATTAAAAATTTATTAAACTTGTTATTTTTCTTAAATATGACAAAAAATGGTAGCATTTGTAATTTAAAAA